CGCCTTCTTTGATCTGTCCTTTATGAATTCCTTATATAACACATTCTTTTTTTTACATGCATTCTGTAATCCCTTACTCATCCACGGTTTCCCACTGTAATTCCTTTTGTTTTTATACTGCTTACGAGGACAGTTCCTGTCATATACTTCCATGAATATATTTAAAAATTGCTCATATGCTTTATCTAAGTCTTCCTCTTTGTAAACTGATTCCCAGTCTTGCCCCATAAAATCCTCTTTTAGCCTCCTTACAGCATGTTCGTTCATCACCCTCCTATAGAAAAGATTTGTTTTTGGCCTTTCTTTTCTATACTGGCAGTCATAAACCAAAAATACAGGTAGATGATCACTAATATCATTAATAAATAATCCACTTGACATTTTGCTATCAATATCATTGGTAAGTATATTATCTATTAGTGTTGCATGTTGGGTTGTTAATCTACTTGGTTTTGTAATTTTTGGGTATAAACTACATCTATATAGTGTGTTAATAAACTCCTCCATTCCTGTTTGCTTGTTAGGATTCAACAAATCTATATTAAAGTCACCACATATGAACAATACTTTTATTTTTCATTCAGTTTGTCATGACCAGCACCTGTCTTTTAGGTGTGCATTCACACCAAATTAAGCTCTCTGTATGTCACCCATTTCTTGTCCATGGGAACATCAGGCAGACCATCTTAACCTGCCAAATGAAAACTCTCATGACTGTGAGTCCAGTAGTCTCATTACGGGCTCCTTCAACAAGAATCCTCCATCTCATAGCTTTCTGCTATTGGTCAAGAGGTTCCCGTCTTCTTCGAGACTCATCTGATTCCAGCTGCCAATTGGTTGAGGGGTTGCTGAAGGAGGGTATTAACACCTCTGTGTCTCTTCATGGCTCTGTCCATTAGGTCGATTGCTGATTGGCTGAAGCCTCCAGACACTTGGTTCCTGCTGGATTTCATCAAGCCAGAGTTTCTGCTGTTAAGGGTTAGTGTGGGACTACTTCTGTCCATGTGTATGAGATAATTTTTTCCCACCTTTCTGTAATCTGGCACACCCACGTCTCTCTCCTTTCTCTTCTTCCCTTCCACCCTCTCAGACACTTGCTCGGTGTATTATCATGTGGGATGAAATCCTCCCTAATACTGAGTGGGTGAGGAGTAACATACCCCAGGTGAGGTGTACACACACACACACACACAGCATTACTGAGCTGACAGTTATGGAGTCACTGTGACTTGTAAAGAGTTCCCAGCTGTGGGATTTGGTTCATTTCTGTGGAGGGAAGAATGTGTAACTTTTCCTATTTGTTAGTCAGTTCCAGCAGCTGATTTGTGTCAGTGTTACACTGATTTTCTTATATCCAGTTCATGAAAGCTTTTACATTTTCCATTTACTGTCACACAGAGCTGGTGTCTGTCTAGCACCACATTTATGATGCACACAAAGAAGAACTGGATAATTCACATGAGAAGAAAATGAAACAAAAATAGCAATTTAATAAGCAGAAAATCCACTAAAAGATGTTTGACAGGTTGTGTGAACTAAGTGTAGTGTGCAAGTACCACAACAATATCTTATCAACTACCACAGAAGAGTCAGGCAGTAAACCTCAATCTGTGCCATGTAGGCTGCTCTAAAGATTATGATCTCATTGATCTGCTGCCAAGAAAAGGTGGTGGTTCAGTATAAACAAGGTTAGTAATATAAAAATGTCTCCCTGTTGATAAAGCCAGGTATATTATTTTCCCCTTTGTGAACATTTCTTAGAGAATTTAGTTTGTCAAAGGTTATTGTAATGGCCATTGGTTATAGGAGTGTCAACTTCTTTCTTGACATTTTTTTCTGTCTGGTTAATACAGTACAGTATGTCAAATGACAATAAATGCTAGTAACCCAAGTTCAGCTCTTCCACAGTTATTTGCCATTGTTGTAGGGTACAACATTGCCTCATAGCTGCTATTGCTGTTATTCCACTGCCACTGGGAACTGTATGATACCCGTACCCTACCAGGGTTTGTGTGTTCCATTGTCTCAGAAATACCATACCAACTTTATTTATAAAGCACTAAAACAACCAAGGTGCACCAAAGTGCTGTACATTACAATAAACAATAAATCAAAAACACAACCCCAGCACAAGTAAGATCGACACCAAAATCTAAAAACATGAATCAATAAAAATAAATAAGATCAACACCAATATAAAATATCAAAACGCCAACGAGAATAAATTAGTTTTTAAAAGAGACTTAAAAACAGACAAAGAAGAAGCTTGTCTGATAGGCAGTGGTAAATCATTCAAAAATTTGGGACCAAAGGCCCGGTCGCCTCTAAGCTTACGCTTTGTTCTTGGCACTCTCAAAAGAAGCTGATTGGCTGACCTCAGAGAACGTGTGGGTTATAAGACGTGCTTCTGCATGTTGGACCATCTGGAGGCAAGTGATGGAAGACGCGCCAATTCCCAGATACAATGTGTTGCAGTAGTCCAGTCCGGTGGTGATAAAAGCATGAATAAGCGTCTCAAAGTGCCGTCTAGAGACCATTGATTTTACTTTGGCCAACCGTCTTAATTGAAAAAAACTAGATTTAACAACAGCTGCAATTTGGCCGTCAAATTTCAGGTCAGAATCCATCTTAACATTCAGATTTAGAAATATTTTTCTTATTGTATTGAGCCAAAAAGCCCAAGTCAATAGAGGGTGACCCAGCAGAATCGCCAAACACTATCACCTTGGTCTTCTCCTTATTCAGATTCAAAAAAGTTAAAAGCAAGCCAAGATTTAATGTCATTGAAACATTCAAGCAGTGTTCTAACACAAGAGTTCGTTTTTTAACCGGTAAATAAAGCTGGCTATCATCTGCATAAAAATGAAAGGACATGCCGTGTTTCCTAAGTATAGAGCTGAGTGGGAGAAGATAAACGGAAAAAAGAAGGGGTCCAAGAACTGAGTCTTGCGGAACCCCATACAAAAGGGGCTTAGAAGAAGACACCGCATCCCCAAGCTTCAACGCCGTCCAGAAATGGATCGTGCCCGGACTGAAACCGGGCTGAAAAGCATGATACAGTCAGTACAGAAAGTTTTCAGACCCTTTAAAGTTTTCCACATTGTGTTATGTTTCAGACTCATCTTAAAATGGATTCAGTTCAGTTTTTATTCTTTTACAAATTTACAAAACACTCTAAAAACCTTCAATTTGTCATTGTGCAGTATTGTGTGTAGAGTAATGAGGAAAAAATTGAACCCAGTTTAAGATAAGCCTGAAGCATAACAAAATGTGGAAAACTTGAAATTGTCTGAATACTTTCCATACTGACTGTATTTGGCCCTGCTCAGAAGCAAGTCCCAAAGTGCTACTCCACCCCCAACCTGTCCGTCTATGCCACTACATTCTGGTTGGCAGAGAGAAAACTGGAGCAACTGAAATGTCTCAGCTGGCATTAATGAATTTAAAATGGGTCTATAATACAAATGAGAACATATAATTGCTGAATTTATTCACTTCTGCAAAGCTTAATTTCCTATTTCAGCCTATCATTAAATAGTTTTATTCTAGGTCATCTGGCTCATTACACAACTGCTGTCATTGATATACAATGTGCTTTTGTGCTTTTAATGTATTTTGTTTTCCATATTTTTTATTTTTAGATTATGAGAGGAACTTTTGACCCCTCAGAAGACATTAACATGGAGACAATGGCGTAAGTTTTTAAGGCAAAAACAAACATTTAATCTTCAACGTTTTAGTCAACTGTTATAGCTGTTGAGGGGAACTCATTCCTTTATATCACAGCCCTCTGTGTTGTATGGATAATATCCACAACGTTATCTGTTTCTCTCAGCCAAGCCCAAGACTACATTACAGCTGGGGCCTGCATGGCACTGGGCTTACGCTTTGCTGGCTCTGCCAACTCCGATGCCTTTGACTGCCTCTATGAATTTGCCAGAACCTTCATGAAGATTATGTCCTTCGCTGGTACAGCTGCGGTGGTAAGTGTTTTCATATGCGTCTGTTTAAATTTGTACATCAGTTGTAAGAATGGCCTTAGAACATTGTCACACTCATGACACATACTGTACTGCCACACCAACCTACTGTGGAAGATAATGCTTTATTTCCCCTTTGTGCTCTCTTTCTCTGTCTGCCCACATGGGTGTTGGTTCCCCTAGCAGACGGGTTTTTACAACCTGCAGACTGGTCTGTCAATGATTCTGCTAGCTATGTCCATGGTGATGTCCGGCACCGGGAACCTGAAGGTCTTGCAGCTCTGTCGCTTCTTCCACAAGCGAACTGGCGGCGAGATGAACTATGGTTTTCACATGGCTCATCACATGGCGCTGGGCCTGCTGTTCCTGGGAGGGGGCAGGTGAGCCACCGACACACCCACACTAGTAAATGCAGAAACACTAAAGCAGTGCTTCAGATGGACATATGTTTGTTTTCAGGACACACCTCCCTCATTACAACCTGCCCTCGCTCTTTAACCTAGCTGAACCAGCATATTTTGTAAACTGTGCTGTAGGCGGACATGGGCTGAAACATTGAGTGTAACTATTCATTTAAGCAATACAGTGTGTTTTGTCAATTGTATGTAACTGCTGGAGTGTTGCTCATCATCATCAACCTTTATTTAATCAGGGAAAAAGTCAGTTGAGAGCAAACTGTCATTTTCAGTGGTGTCCTGACATATGTTGACTGTTGCGGGACAGATTTCCACTCTGGGCTTTGTGTATGTACTGAATGTAAGATAAAAAATGAATGCATAGCAAACTAATGGAGCACAAAGGACCAGGTACACCACGTACACACTCAAGTGTGTGGGTTAGCCGCACAAATACACGTATATGTTCTGAGTGCTGTCATTTACACCCACACAAACACACCGCAAATTGGGTTCCTCCAGCCACTGACCTTGGCCTGTGTATTTTCAAGAGAAACAATGGCTCTCACTCTTTCATTACATGTTGCAAATGTTGCTCCACCTACAGCCACAATCAGATGAACCTTTGTATTTTATGCAGGTCATGTTTTGTTTTAGACCTGCCAGCTGAAAGCCCACTCAGCTGCCTCAGTTTGAATGTTATGCACTGTAGTGTGTTACTGTTATTGTTATACTACGGGCCAGAGGTTAAAAGTTATGCTGGAGAGCAGACTCATGCCATGTCAGTGCTTTATTTCCTTTTATTCTTTCCCCTTCTCTGCTTTCAGTCTCTCACTCGCTTGCATATTTCTATTCACATTGCTTTACACACTGCATTCCACAAGTTTCATTATCACTACATCAGTGTCATTCATTTTTTCCTCATTCATTTTCTTGCCTCTATTTGCTAATGTCAGTGATTTTTTTTCGTCCTCCCTTTTTCTGTTTGCTCTGTTAGTTTCTCTTCCCACTTATTCTGGTTTTATGCAGAAAACTGAAGTGAAAGTTTTTCCACCCAAAGCCAAATATGGCGTTCAGTCTAATTGTCATTGCAGCGTAATGTCAGTCTATTTTAGCTAACAGCAAAAACTGACAGGGGCATGTTCTTCCCATCTTTGCGTGGATTCCTGTTTTTGATACTAGTAATATGCCAGTGCAAAGATGGCAGCACTAGCTGTTACCAGCCAACTCAAACTTGTTATTCACTCTTAGTCATTGCCTAGTTTTGTTCGATTTTGCTTAGATTTTTTTTAAAATATGCCTTTTGTCATCACTTTTACACACTGTGAATCTCTGTGTCACATCTTTTGAATTGTTATGATGTAAAAAAAGAGCTAGGTTAAAGTGAAGTTGAGGACATAAGCAGCCATTTAAGTGAAGCGCAACATACCGTAATGCACCTCTGCTGATTAATAACACAAGTAATTTTTTTATGTGCAAGCCATTAATGTCTGACCCAACTGTGACTCATTAAACTACCCACTGTTATGTTGAACAGGCTGTGTTGTGGCCTGTAATGAAGGTAACTTGATCACAACACAAAACATGGTTTCACTAACATAGATCACTAATTTTATTTTTAATCTCCTCTCCTAAGTACACTTTACATACCTGTTACTGTATGTGTGAGCATCAGTTAGTTATTGCACTCTTGGCTGTTGTTTGTGGCAGATGGTTTAATGATTTGTGTGGTTGAATGTGTAGTCAGTGTTTGTGCTGATATTTGATGGTCTCCCATTGTAGATACACCCTGAGCACCTCCAACTCAGCCATCGCTGCCCTGCTGTGTGCCTTGTACCCACACTTCCCTGCTCACAGTACTGACAACCGGTGAGACCAACACACGCTCAAGTTACTTGCAGATCCGCACTGTATATTCCATCCCATCGATATTAATTATTTTTTACATGTTACATGCCATTATGTGTTATGCTGGAGTGTAATTAACAAAAGCGTAATTTGAAGTTAAATAAACTACATATGTCATCAGGTTTTGTAAACTGTTTTTCTGTATGTTTGGTGAAGCTGTGTGTTGATGTTGTTGCAGCTACCACCTGCAGGCCCTGCGGCACCTGGTTGTGCTAGCTGCAGAGCCACGCCTGCTGGTCCCTGTGGATGTGGACTCGCTGAAGCCCTGCTACGCCCTCTTAGAGGTTACCTACAAGGTGAGTTAATCAAGGTTGGGCTGGCTTATGCAGGGCACCACAAACGTATGAACAAAGGAGAAGGTCTCTTATGCTGACGAGCTTGCAAGACACTTGTCCCAACACTGCTTTTGTGTAGAGATTTTTTTTTTTTTACAGCTGGCTCCAAAATGGTGTCATAAAGTGTGGAGTTAAAATGCCAGATGTGAGGAACCAGGCACACCAAAGTGCAGTTTGACATTTTTCTGTCCAACAGCCATAGACTTCCTCCCTCTCTCTTTCGTTCTTTATCTTTGTCACACGTACTTGTGAAATTGTCCATCGCCACACTTCCTCTTGACAAACAGTTTTTACTTGCAAACACACACACATTACCACCAACTGTAATGTGCAATATGTGCAAGTAGCAGTTTGTTTTGAGGTGCAAGAAAAAAACTCAACTGTCCACCAAACTACCACTTTTTGCTTTTTGTCAGTGGACGGCTTACTCCAGCTCACAGTTCATACTCTTGAGGTGTCATTTGTGTAACTTGCTCGCACCGTTCAGTCAACTCAGCTCTCTGCTTGCTGCCAGATGAATGAAGTTCATTGTAAGATTAGTTCAAGAAAGATACACTGCAAAAAATGTATGCAACATCCTACCACTATTTAAAAAACTACAATGATGGCATCTAATATGACATTTTCTGCAGTTTCTAGTCTTCCTGTAGTCTGTGAATGCACACACATAGATGTGGAACAAGATAACAGAAGTATAAAGTGGGCTGTACAGTATTTGCACAATTGCAACAAGCTACATAATGCAAAACACACACTGCTGAGCAACACTTTTCAAATATAAAACCAGAAAGTGAAACCAGCTAATAGTTAAGCCAGTCCTGGAAATGAGACGCTGTGGGTGCAGTCCACAAAGCCACAGTGTTTCCATTCATTTTGACCACAGTTATGGCATTAAGACGGTATGTGCTCTGTCACGTTCATTTGCCATGTGAAGGCAGATGTGGACATACACTGGCAGCTGGTCCTGATACTTTACTTTTATTATCTTTAGAATAAAAATAAAAACCTCTGAGGTTCTGCTCTGAATACAGTTTCTTTAGAAGATATTCAGACCCTCTCACTTTACGCTCACTTCATTGTGTAGTAGATTTAATTTTAAATTAATAACATTGCCTTTCCTGCCCATCAGTCTTCACTCAATAACCCATAATGAAAGCTTGTTTTTAGAAATGATTGCAAATGTATTAAAAACAAACAAAAGAATATTGTGATCGGGTGCATCCTGCATGTCAGGACAAAGGCCAAACCATGACAAGGATCAGAATATTTTCTCAAGTCAGTGTAGATGTAGTTCTCTTTCATAGCATTCAGTATATAACACTTTGTCCTTGTGTATTTTTTAATGATGCATTTTCGCTTGTTTCAGGAGACCAAGTGGTACGAGGAGACGACCGTAGAGCTGATGGCTCCTACCATGCTTCCTGAGCTGCACCTTCTCAAACGGGTAAAGCTGTAGAAAAGTTCTTTAGAGCCCAGTGGGAGCTAGATTGTTCACAGCTCTATGAGTGCTTCTCTCTCTGCTGTGATGGGATGGGTTTGGAGTTTTGATGCACAGTTATTAACCATATTGATTCCTTAAGCCACCCAAACTATTTGCAGGTAATATTGCAGCCGTTTGTGTTATTGCAGGTGAAGGTGAAGGGGCCACGTTATTGGGAACTGTCCATAGACCTCAGCAAAGAAACACAACATCTGAAGTAAGTATACTGGAAACTTAAAGTAAATCTTCTTTGTAAAACTGGAGCAGAGGTTTAAAGGTAATCAAATGAATTGGTGTATGATTATGAAGGACCACTTTCATCTACTCATGTCACAGATGGGTTAACCCAGGGGTGGCCAATTCCAGTCCTCGAGGGCCGCTGTCCTGCTTGTTTTCCAACTATCCCTGAACACACCTGAGCCAGGTAATCAGCAGCAGGTCAGGCAGGGATAGTTGGAAAACAAGCAGGACAGCGGCCCTCGAGGACTGGAATTGGCCACCCCTGGGTTAACAGATGTAGGGCGAAACTCTGATTTCACATGTTGATTTGGTCGACTGATTTAAAGAACAATCTTTCTATATGTTGTATCTCCCTCAGGTCCATCCTGTCCAGAGATGGGGTATTGTATGTGAAACTACGGGCCGGCCAGCTGCCCTACAAAGATGACCCTCAGGGCTGGAAGAGCCTGCTGGCCTCCACCATCAACCACCACAACTCTGGAGTACGAGCCTTCAAGGTGAACACAGGAGATGTCACACATATTAGGCGCACCTGAGTAAAACTAATGCAGTATAATACAACAGTCCTGCAGTATGTAATCTCTTCATGAAGGTGATGATTTTTAGTTTTTGTTGAAATGTTTTGGAGACGTGGTGATTCAAATGTGTATCATTATTGAAAATGTAGTGTGTGGTGCTGCTGAATTGTATTGCGATGCACTGACAGGTGATTACTGACTATTACTGATTTCCTGATGACCTCAGTGTGTGCTTTCAATACACCTGCAGGTCACAGTCCTTCCTTTCCATAACATTTTTCTTCTCGTGTATTCATCCTTTGTTTTTTTGACTGCACCTTCATGTCCCTGTTTTTTCAACACACCTTCCTGACTTCAGGTTGTTTCAAGTATTTTTTTTCTTACTCCTTGACTATCTTTTGTATTCTTCACTGTTTCTTTGTGCTTATTTACAGCATGTGTAGATTTATCAAAATAATTTGTTTCCTTGTGTGTTTTTGCAGCCTGAAACCATCTCTGCTTTCACCTCTGATCCCGCCTTGGTCTCCTTTGCCGAGTTCTTCTGTAAAGCATCTGAAGGAATGAGACATGTGAGTTTTAACACAGAAATAAATGTGGGTACCCTCTGAAGCCAGTTGTGCTCCTCTTTTGCTTGTTATTATTACATTTTACTATATAAAGAAGAAGAGAAGAAGCTTTGATTTTGTTGGCATTGTGGCACGTACAACAAAATTTTGTTTGGAGCTATTACACGATTTTCCACATGCTAGCTTAAAACTACTAACTGTAAGTGTTTTTTAAGATAATGTAAGCAACAGACATAAAACCCTGGATGTAATATAGCTTGGTTTATGCACTGTCCAGGATGGGATTGCCACTAAATTCATCTCTGAAGTTGTTGTGTAAAATATTGACCTGAGCTTCTTATAAACTATTGTGTAGTTTCACATGAATGATTAACAAAATCTGTTTGCTCATGGAATGTCTTAACAAGTAGAGTAAAGTAATTACAACACACCCTGAGGGTGACATCCAAGGAGGGTGTGGACCTCCTGTTTGTTCGGATGTTTTCTATTCCTTCCAATAATTGTTGACATATTTCACTCATTAACCTGCCAGTGTCTCTCTGTAAAAGTCAAGAGTTCACCATTAGGATTTGTCACCTAGGATCCACGAACAGATTTTCTCAGTTGTAAATGTGGTACTGTATGTAAAGCACAGGTCATAAGCATAATTTTAAGATAGAATCGATTGTAGAATATATCTGACTCCTATTGTCTGAGTAAAGAGGCAGCTTTAAGTTAATTGGTTGGATCTTGCACAATGAAACAGACAAATTCTTCATTTTGTAGCATAATCTCCTATAATTGAATTTAACGACAGCAGGGTGAGATTTCTTTGCTGTTTACCTGTATTTAATCAGTCCAATCCCACCGGAGTGTTATAAATTTAAATGTCCAAAACTACCAGAAGTAGAAACTCTCATGCAAAAGTGAGGGAACGAATAATAAATTAGGGTGTTGTAATTCAAATGTATCATAAAGTCTGTGTCTTACTAATAATATATGCTTAAATAGTGGAGTGCAGAATGTTTGAAACTTTCACCATCATCCGTATTGGAATGCAGAATGTAAACACGCATGAATCTGACAAAAGAACAGAAGCTAAAATAGCTAAAATACTATGACTTTCTTGTACCATTCACTTACTTACTGTGTTGTGTTTTTGCAGAGAGAGGATACTTTGGCATTATTCTCAGCCATGTTGTATGAATGTGTGACGCAGGAGTGTCCAGAGATGCTGCCCACGTATATTGCTATCGAGCAGGTAACACACACACACACACACACACACACACACACTGAACTGTGTGATGACTGCTGACTGTTGTCCACCTGACTCTTTCTGGACCCTGGTTTAGCATTTGTAGTGCAGTTACAGTTCCTAGCAATGCTGACGTAAATGTTCCTATAAATACTGTGAATTGAATTACCTCTTGAGTTATAGGTCTCCAGGTTGGTTTTTCATTCTTTAACGAAATGAACTGAAACCAACAGCTACTGGTAAAATAACAGGTATGTTAACATGTGTCTCCTCTGTTGTCTCTCAGACAGTAGCTGCTTTGCGCCGGGGTGACCTGCTGCAGACCTTTAACCTGTGGCAGCTGCGTCTGGTGGTGGAGTTGTGGGACAGCAGGGTGCTGCAGGGTCCCACTAGCCGCAATGATACACTGCTCACCTCTGAGTTTCTGCCCGTCATGAAGAACATGGTGGATGTTGCACTGGATGGCTGGCTCAGAGGTGAGGAGGGGTGGTGGACAAGTGTGTTGAGATAGATGGTGCTTAAACAACTAAAAAGTAACGGTAGTTTGGATCTGTGACTACACAAATGCTTTCTTTTTATGCCTCTGCCTTGGCAATAGCCGTGGCTGGATGTGTTCTGTTTTCGGATTGCCCATCCGTACCACTGTCTGGCCCTTTCTTCTGAATGTGATGTGATCTCAGTAATGCCTTGAGGAAATATATTTAAAATTGGCATAAACATCCACTTGGACTCAAGCATGAAATGATTAGTTTTGGTGGTCACACTATCCTCATGTCTGCCCCATTCCCATGAATTTGAAAGGTTTGCAGAGGCATTCAACCGAGAAGCTAGTTCTTGAATTAAACAGAAATACTGATAAAAGAGAGGACTCAAGTGAAATAAGGAGATTGTAAAGAGTTGCTGTGGGAAGCATTTAAATCACAAGGTGAGCCAATCACACATGAAATCTGACCCTCAACTATAAATTTGATCCCATCTCAAAAGGTGTCTACAGCAGGACTGCAGGATTCCCGTTAGCCCGTTTCATTATGTATAAATCCAGCTTAAAGACGGTGCTTTTTTCAGGAGACAGAATGAAGGGTAATAGTAAAGTCCGCTGTTACACTGGTTCCACAAAGGACACTGAACATTTTAAAGTGTCACTCAATGAGTATTTCATAGGCTGGATGTGTTTCAGCATGTTTTCCTGTAAAGGGTGTAACACACTAATATCATAGTTTGGAAGTTAAACAGCCTGTGTATACACTCAAACAAACACCCATTCCATTAGTGCATTTACTTGTGCATGCACATACACACACACCCCTACACTGCTAAATGCTCACTGAGACGCGTGGGAAGCCAGTGAAGTGGTTGGACGAGACTGTGATCATGTGAACAGCACACACATGCCTTCACTTTCATGTTTCATGAAGCTTCTTTGCTGTGGCAGATGTTTCTGAGGAAAACCAAACTATCTTGACCTCAAGCACCAGGAATGTTGTTGTTCTCTGGAACTCACTCATGAATGAAATGTGCGTCTAGATCTATCCTTGTTTTTATGATTCTTGTTTTTACTCCCCTTGTCTGTGCCCTTTATATTTCTTTGTACACGGAGGACACGCTGATTACCCAGTAATGTGGGAATTCTTGGAATTTCACAAAGTACTAAAAGTGTATCACAGACACAGAACATACAAAATGATACACAGTTTCTGTTTGGCATATCGGAAATGTACAAAGAGTCAAACACAGCAGCATGTGTTTGATGTGTGTAGCATTGTTCAACACATTGTATGAGCTTGTTTTCAGATCAAGTATAAAGCATATCAGACACTGGGCTTCATGCCAGAACATTTTCATATTCTTGTCCTAAAACATATTTATTTTCTAGTTTGTACAAGTGTTCAAAGTCAGACTGACCAAACTCTTAACTGGACAAACTCCTCTGTTCAGCCTGATGACTATCACCTGTTGATGAGGACATGCATTTTTGTGAGGTTTCTTCATCAGCATCGCCCCTGATGTCACCATATGAGGCTTCCTGTTCCACTCTTTGTGTGGGCTGCATCTAAATATACTAATAAAATAAAAATTAAGTTCAGTTTTGTTTTGAATTTGTTTTAAGTTTGGCTTGTATACAGAACGTTTGCCTTGAATTTGTTGCCTGGTAAAATTTGTACATTTATTTGAATGACACCTGTTATGACCTATTACACAAATACACCTGTCTGTAAATAAAAATATCCATATGCCTTGTGTGTGTTTTCTCCTCCAGCCAACAGCTCAGTGTTGCGGTCCTACATGAGGGGCGAGGCCCTTCCTAAGGACGCCCAGTCCATCATGCTGGCCTGCATCCTGGTGTACCGCTCCATCCCCTGCCTCAGGAACACACAAACACAGCTCGAAGGTAAGACAAACACATTTTCACAGTGAACTCTGCAGCTTCACCTGTGTACACTTATATTTGCAACCCCATCCTGCACTTTTAAAATCTCACAGCTATAGACTTGTACAGTGGTAGAATGTTACATGACAGTACTACAGTAGACTTGTAATTGAGTACATTGTTGTATTGCAACATTTACTAAAGCAAAAGTCTATGGTACTTTCTCCACCAGCGGACTTACTTCCATAAAAGGATATAATTGAATTTCCTTTAGCCAAATTTCAGTCCCATCATAACATTCTGGTCTAAAGGAACAATGCAAACCATAGATGGTAATTATAGTTTGACAAAGACATGGTACTTTAATGTT